CACACACACACACACACACGTAAAACATGCACTGAGGGGGAATTTTCTGGGTGTTTAATTAAGTTATGAGATTTGCTGAAACTTCAAAAACCTGATTTATATCAACATAATTAAATTTTCCACTTATCTGTTGCAATAAAGATGGAGATCATTGAAGAAATAGTTAGACGATCATGATCACCTTTATTTAAATTAGCAAAAAATATGGATTCAGTTCACCATGAAAGACAACATCAAATTAGAATATCAAGGTGAATAACAGGAAGAAAATGTTGAAATGATCCCATACGAATTATAAAAAAATGTGAAACATTTTGAAATTGATTTGCTTTTCTGACTAGAATTTTTTTGAAAAATATAGGAAATTTTTGAAAATATACTGTAATCCTGTTTAATATCCTTACAATAATTATTGAATACTTCTACAAGAAGACTTGGATAACTTAAGAAAATGGATTGTTAACTTGATGATTGAAATGAGAGAAGAAATATTCACTCTAATGAGAATAAAAGAAAGTGATTACAAGAGACATGTTGAATATATATTTTTAAACTATATTGGAACCAGATAGAGGAATCAAGGGAAAATTATAGATAAAAGAATGTTCCACAAAGATCACATTATGAAAATACCGAGAAAGTTATATGCTACAAAAACAATAATTATCAATAATATTTCAAAATATTAGGCTTGGTGACTGCAAACATTTTAACTCTCAAAAATGTAAGACAAAAATGATAATGTTAAGTGTGGCGAGGTGTTAGTACTTAAAACAGCTCCCACGGTGTGAATCACATATATGTTATAATGTTAAGTGTGTGGAGGTGTTAGTACTTAAAACAGCACCCACGGTGTGAATCACATATATGTTATAATGTTAAGTGTGTGGAGGTGTTAGTACTTAAAACAGCACCCACGGTGTGAATCACATATATGTTATAATGTTAAGTGTGTGGAGGTGTTAGTACTTAAAACAGCTCCCACGGTGTGAATCACATATATGTGTTATAATGTTAAGTGTGTCGAGGTGTCAGTACTTAAAACAGCTCCCACGGTGTGAATCACATATATGTGTTATAATGTTAAGTGTGTGGAGGTGTTAGTACTTAAAACAGCTCCCACGGTGTGAATCACATATATGTGTTATAATGTTAAGTGTGTGGAGGTGTTAGTACTTAAAACAGCTCCCACGGTGTGAATCACATATATGTTATAATGTTAAGTGTGTGGAGGTGTCAGTACTTAAAACAGCTCCCACGGTGTGAATCACATATATGTGTTATAATGTTAAGTGTGTGGAGGTGTTAGTACTTAAAACAGCTCCCACGGTGTGAATCACATATATGTGTTATAATGTTAAGTGTGTGGAGGTGTTAGTACTTAAAACAGCTCCCACGGTGTGAATCACATATATGTTATAATGTTAAGTGTGTGGAGGTGTCAGTACTTAAAACAGCTCCCACGGTGTGAATCACATATATGTGTTATAATGTTAAGTGTGTGGAGGTGTAGTACTTAAAACAGCTCCCACGGTGTGAATCACATATATGTGTTATAATGTTAAGTGTGTGGAGGTGTTAGTACTTAAAACAGCTCCCACGGTGTGAATCACATATGTGTTATAATGTTAAGTGTGTCGAGGTGTCAGTACTTAAAACAGCTCCCACGGTGTGAATCACATATGTGTGTTATAATGTTAAGTGTGTCGAGGTGTCAGTACTTAAAACAGCTCCCACGGTGTGAATCACATGTGTGTTATAATGTTAAGAGTGTCGAGGTGTCAGTACTTAAAACAGCTCCCACGGTGTGAATCACATACATGTGTTTCACAATATGAAGTCTAGCATTTGATGTCACTGTAAAATACATCGGTTTAAAGTAGTCTTCTCATATGGACATGATCCATGACTCTTAAATATTACAGCACAGAGGAATACTGACACAAAGGACATTTGGTAAGAGTGCAAAATTGGCTAGGAAATAAATTAAGTTGCGAAAGAGTGGTTGTTGAGATGGTTTTATCATGTAGAAAGAAAGAAAGAAGGAAATAAGATATTTAGATTGTGTTAATTAGTTGTTAGGTAAGACACATATGCAACAGTTAGGTATCTTTATTTCGAAACGTTTCGCCTACACAGTAGGCTTCTTCAGTCGAGTACAGAAAAGTTGATAGAAGCAGAAGTGACTTGAAGACGATGTAATCAGTCCATCGCCCTTGAAGTTTTGAGGTGGTCAGTCCCTCAGTCTGGAGAAGATTATTGTTCCATAGTCTGAAACAATATGGAGTTGAAGTGACAGGATGGAGCCTTATATACCGCTAGGAGGTGAGATGTAGGCCACTAGTAGAGGTAAGAATGTAGTCGTTGAGAGGTCAGGTCCCTTTCAAATCCAGCCATTCTCACTGACCACCTCAAAACTTCAACGGTGATGCACTGATTACATCGTCTTCAAGTCTCTTTTCCTTCTATCAACTTTTCTGTACTCGACTGAAGAAGCCTACTGTGTAGGCGAAACGTTTCGAAATGAAGATACCAAACTGTTGCATATGTGTCTTACCTAACAACCTGTCGGTATTTTATACCATTTTAATGTTCACAATGTGTTAATTAGATTGGATGGAAAGGAGGTTTTGAGTATTGGTGGTTTAGTGGGATATGACGTGTTGTTGACGTTCCAGGATGGTTAAAATCACTGAAGTTGTTCAGGAAAACAGGTTACCTGGACGTAGGTTTTAGAGGTGAAAATAAGAATTGCAGTTTTCTTCGCTGAGTCACTTTTCCTTTGTGAGAAAAAGCAATTACATTAAAGTGAAAACTAGTAAATTTGTTGAAATAGTTGTACTACTTTCATAGATCCATCTATCAAAGAGTGAACTTTCAAATACCAAAATACATCAATTTCCTCCATGCTTCCTCCATCCACTCTTCAAAATTTCTGTATATCTAAATTTTATGTTACCTCCATAACTTTTTTTTTCAATATTCACATTTAATATCGAAGTTAGAGGAGTGATTGTTTCTCTTCTTCGGATGAACTCTGAATGTCTTCCACTCCACAAGTGCTGTATACGACCTCTACTGCTTAATAATTATTTGATTAAAATAAATCTTAGTGGCTGATACATCAAATGAAATGGATGATGTGTTATTTCCATTTAGAGTTTATAGGTGCACATTTAGAGTTTATAGGTGCACATTTAGAGTTTATAGGTGCACATTTAGAGTTTATAGGTGCACATTTAGAGTTTATAGGTGCACATTTAGAGTTTATAGGTGCACATTTAAAGTTTATAGGTGCACATTTACAATTTATAGGTGCACATTTAGAATTTATAGGTGCACATTTAGAGTTTATAGGTGCACATTTAGAGTTCATAGGCGCACATTTAGAGTTTACAGGCGCACATTTAGAGTTTATAGGTGCACATTTAGAGTTTATAGGTGCACATTTAGAGTTTATAGGCGCACATTTAGAGTTTATAGGTGCACATTTAGAGTTTATAGGTGCACATTTAGAGTTTATAGGTGCGCATTTTAATTTTATAGGTGTACATTTAGAGTTTATAGGTGCACATTTAGAGTTTATAGGTGCATTTTAAAGTTTATAGGTGCACATTTAGAGTTTATAGGTGCACATTTAGAGTTTATAGGTGCATTTAAAGTTTATAGGTGCACATTTAGAGTTTATAGGTGCACATTTAGATTTTATAGGTGCATTTAAAGTTTATAGGTGCACATTTAGAGTTTATAGGTGCACATTTAGAATTTATAGGTGCATTTAAAGTTTATAGGTGCACATTTAGATTTTATAGGTGCACATTTAGAGTTTATAGGTGCACATTTAGATTTTATAGGTGCATATTTAGAGTTTATAGGTGCACATTTAGAGTTTATAGGTGCACATTTAGAGTTCATAGGTGCACATTTAGAGTTTATAGGTGCACATTTTGATGGATTCTGCCTCTTCAAGTTACCTTTAAATTGTTAATGCTGATTTTTTTTCCTCAACGGAAACTTCGCTTTCATTTTAGGTAGTAAAAGTTAAATTTCCAAATTTTGTTAATCAAACTGGATTCTGTGAAGAAATACGTCAAGGTGTTAAACTTTATTGAATTATGATGAGTTAAGAGTACTTAATATGAACATTAAAATGGTATAAAATACCGACAGGTTGTTAGGTAAGACGCCTACTGTGTAGGCGAAACGTTTCATAATAAAGATACCTAACTGTTGCATATGTGTCTTACCAGTACCTAATATGCCTTTATACACACATAACATCTGTGTACCCTCAAGACAATTGTAAAATTTGCATAATATGTACCTAAAGCTTTAGTAAAACTTAATTACTTACATTTAAACCCTAAACTCTGGTCTTACTTAGAGAATTTTTTTTAAATAATTTGGCCTGTTTAGGCCTCAGTCGGGAAAACTGAAATACTTGTTTTCGTGTCATGAGTTGTGAGACTTCAACGCAGATTACTTGATAGTGAAAATTCCGAGCTGCTTCAAACTTATTATTCTGTTGTATTTTAAAATGCTGGTCTTTTTGAGATAAGGAGAGTATGCCTCTTCAGCTTGGTTTCAAAACTGGGTTTTCGCAATGTAAAGTTTAAATTATTTTTCTTGGGTGTATATGCACTAATTTGTAATTTTATTGAAGGAACTGAGATCTTACTAATCATGTGATAAATTAGAAACTTCTGTAGCACTCTGTCCAAATTCTTATAGTTGCTTTAAGGTAGAGAGAGCTGGAGGTATGAAATATGGGGATACCTTCCTCGGTTCGCGAAGCGACCGAAATAAACGTTATTATAGTGTTTAAGTTTTGTTGAGTCATGTTCAGGAATATTGTAACCTAAATGACCATGGTGCAGTCGACAGGATTTAAATCTAGCACACTAATCAATAAACCAATTCTTTTTAAATCATTAATTTAGAGGCCGATTTATTGTAAAAAAAAAGACTATGAAATCTTACTTGCATTAAAATTTTCACAGGTCCCCTCAGCCCAAAAGCTCTAGACGACAACGTTGTCAATCCATCTTGTGCACGATTCTATCACTGGATGTGGCGGAGATTCAGTAAGTGCGATGACGATGAAGACTACACCACAACACCAGAACACTGACGCTGACGCTGTGCCACTTAGTGTGCTGCTCGACAAGAACACTGACACTGCAACACTTTCTGTGGTGCCAAACCTCCATCCACACGAAATTAATAATTTTGTTAGTAGTGCTCACCAGTAACTTGAGAGTTATGGTAGTGTTTTAGGTATCCAGCAATATGTAAATAAAGAAACGTAAGTAGATTTCAATACATTTATTAAGGAAACGTTTCTCCTGAGTGCTTTATTCCTTCCTAGATCAAAGACAATGCAACAAGTATATATACAACTAGAGGTCAGGTGAGCCATTCTAAGAACGGAGTGACATGTTGCATGTATCATACTGGCCAATCTTTTAAAAAAAATATTGGAGAGATATAGCAATTAGGCTGGCAGGTATTATAACGATGCTCAGTCATGCACTTTGGTGTCTTCTATTGCTAAACAGGTTCTAATCTTCTCCAGTGGTGGCAACAGGCATTACGTTACTGGCTGGTGTCATCTAACTGTAACAGGTTGTGTAGTAATCAGTTTGCCAAGACTTTGAGAATACGATAACTACCGGAACTTGGTGGATGGATACTGCTGTCATGATGGCCTCCAAATTCTTTTGAATACGTTGGCCATTTACAACAATATTAAATTTTTTTCACCAAAGTGGAAAATATATTTTCTGATTTCGATTTAATAATGGTTAATAATCAGACTTTTGTCAGCTTGCATTGTTTTCCAAATCTGAAAGTTTTATATTATTGAATTCGCATTACCTATAGATGTATTTTTTTTTAATTAAACTGAAGTAATTACAGAGAGGATGCATTGAAATCAACGTATAGGTCACTCAGGGCTTACACTCTCTCTCTCTCTCTCTCTCTCTCTCTTTCTCTCTGTATATATATATATATATATATATATATATATATATATATATATATATATATATATATATATATATATATATATATATATATATATATTTATTTTATTATCTCACTGGCCGATTCCCACCAAGGCAGGGTGGTCCGAAAAAGAAAAACTTTCACCATCATTCACTCCATCACTGTCTTGCCGGAAGGGTGCTTTACACTACAGTTTTTAAACTGCAACATTAATTAACACCCCTCCTTCAGAGTGCAGGCACTGTACTTCCCATCTCTAGGACTCAAGTCCGGCCTGCCGGTTTCCCTGAACCCATTCATAAATGTTACTTTGCTCACACTCCAACAGCACGTCAAGTATTAAAAACCATTTGTCTCCATTCACTCCTATCAAACACGCTCACGCATGCCTGCTGGAAGTCCAAGCCCCTCGCACACAAAACCTCCTTTACCCCCTCCCTCCAACCTTTCCTAGGCCGACCCCTACCCCACCTTCCTTCCACCACAGACTGATACACTCTTGAAGTCACTCTGTTTCGCTCCATTCTCTCTACATGTCCGAACCACCTCAACACCCTTCCTCAGCCCTCTGGACAACAGTTTTGGTAATCCCACACCTTCTCCTAACTTCCAAACTACGAATTCTCTGCATTATGTTCACACCACACATTGCCCTCAGACATGACATCTCCACTGCCTCCAGCCTTCTCTTCGCTGCAACATTCATCACCCATGCTTCACACCCATATAAGAGCGTTGGTAAAACTATACTCTCATACATTCCCCTCTTTGCCTCCAAGGACAAAGTTCTTTGTCTCCACAGACTCCTAAGTGCACCACTCACACTTTTCCCCTCATCAATTCTATGATTCATCTCATTTTTCATAGACCCATCCGCTGACACATCCACTCCCAAATATCTGAATGCATTCACCTCCTCCACACTCTCTCCCTCCAATCTGATATCCAATCTTTCATCACCTAATATTTTTGTTATCCTCATAACCTTACTCTTTCCTGTATTCACTTTTAATTTTCTTCTTTTGCACACCCTACCAAATTCATCCACCAATCTCTGCAACTTCTCTTCAAATCTCCCCAAGAGCACAGTGTCAACAGCAAAGAGCAACTGTAACAACTCCCACTTTATGTGTGATTCTTTATCTTTTAACTCCACGCCTCTTGCCAAGACCCTCGCATTTACTTCTCTTACAACCCCATCTATAAATATATAAACAACCAGGGTGACATCACACGTCCTTGCTAAGGCCTACTTTACTGGGAAATAATTTCCCTCTTTCCTACATACTCTAACTTGAGTCTCACTATCCTCTTTAAAAAACTCTTCACTGCTTTCAGTAACCTACCTCCTACACCATACACCTGCAACATCTGCCACATTGCCCCCCTTTTCCACCCTGTCAAAACGCCTTTTCCAAATCCATAAATGCCACAAAGACCTCTTTAGCTTTATCTAAATACTGTTCCTTATATATTTTCACTGTAAACACCTGGTTCACACACCCCCTCCCTTTTCCCTAAAACCTCCTTGTTCATCTGCTATCCTATTCTCCTTCTTGCTCTTAAATTCTTCAATAATAACTCTACCATACACTTACCAGGTATACTCAACAGACTTATCCCCATATATTTTTGCACTCTCTTTGTCCCTTTGCCTTTATACAAAGGAACTAGGGCATCTCTCTGCCAATCCCTAGGTACCTTACCCTCTTCCTTTACATTTTATTAAATAATTGCACCAATCACTCCAAAACTATATCCCCCCCTTTGCTTTAAACCATTTCTATCTTTATCACATCAATCCCGGCTGCTTTACCCCTTTCATTTTACCTACTGCCTCACGAACTTCCCCCCCACTCACAACTGGCTCTTCCTCACTCCTACAAGATGTTATTCCTCCTTGCCCTATACACGAAATCACAGATTCCCTATCTTCATCCCAACATTTAACAATTCCTCAAAAAATTCCCCCCATCTTTCCCCAATACCTCTAACTCTCCATTTAATAACTCTCCTCTATATTTTTAGCTGATAAATCCATTTGTTCTCTAGGCTTCCTTAACTTGTTAATCTCACTCCCCAAAAATTTTTCTTATTTTCAACAAAATTTTGTTGATAACATCTCACCCACTCTCTCATTTTCTCTCTTTTTACATTGCTTTCACCACTCTCTTAACCTCTCTCTTTTTCTCCACTACTCTTATTGCATATATATATATATATATTTTATATAAAATATATATATATATTTATATATATATATTTTATATTTATATATATATATATGTTTTATTAACAAGTCGGCCATATCCCACCGAGGCAGGGTGACGCAAAAAGAAAGAAAATCCCCAAAAAGAAAATACTTTCATCATAATTCAACACTTTCTCATCACTCACACATAATCACTGTTTTTTGCAGAGGTGCTCAGAACACAACAGTTTAGAAGCATATACGAATAAATACAAACCATATCCCTCCAAACTGCTAATATCCCGATACCCCTCCTTTAGAGTGCAGACATTGTTCTTCCCATTTCCAGGACTCAAGTCCGGCTATATAAAAATAACTGGTTTCCCTGAATCCCTTCATTAAATATTACCCTGCTCACACTCCAACAGATCGTCAGGTCCCAAATACCATTCGTCTCCATTCACTCCTATCGAACACGCTCATGCACGCCTGCTGGAAGTCCAAGCCCCTAGCCCACAAAACCTCCCTTACCCCTTCCAACCTTTTCGAGGACGACTCCTACCCCGCCTTCCTTCCCCTACAGATTTAAATGCTCTCCATGTCATTCTACTTTGATCCATTCTCTCTAAATGACCAAACCACCTCAACAACCCCTCTTCAGCCCTCTGACTAATAATTTTGTTAACTCCACACCTTCTCCTAATTTCCACACTCCGAATTTTATGAATAATATTTACATCTCCACTGCCTCCAACCGCCTCCTCACTGCAGCATTCACAACGCAAGCTTCACTCCCATATAAGAGTCATGGTACTACTATACTTTCCCTTCTTTCCCTCCATAGATAACGTTGTTTGTCTCCACACAGATAACTCAACGCACCACTCACCTTTTTTCCCTCATCAATTCTATGATTAACCTTATCCTTCATAAATCCATCCGCCGACACGTCAACTCCCAAGTATCTGAAAACATTCACTTCTTGCATACTCCTCCTCCCCAATTTGATATCCAATTTTTCTTTATCTACATCATTTGATACCCTCATCACCTTACTCTTTTCTATGTTCACTTTCAACTTTCTACCTTTACACACACTCCCAAACTCTTCCACTAACCTTTTCAATTTTTCTTTAGAATCTCCCATAAGCACAGTATCATCAGCAAAAAGCAACTGTGTCAATTCCCATTTTGTATTTGAATCCCAATAATTTAATCCTACCCCTCTCCCGAACACCCTAGCATTTACTTCATTTACAACCCCATCTATAAATATTAAAGAACCATGGTGACATTACACATCCCTACTTTTTCCGGGAAGTAGTCTCCCTCTCTTCTACACACCCTAACCTGAGCCTCACTATCCTCATAAAAACTCTTTACAGCATTTAGTAACTTACCACCTATTCCATATACTTGCAACATCTGCCACATTGCTCCCCTATCCACTCTATCATATGCCTTTTCTAAATCCATAAATGCAATAAAAACGTCCCTACCTTTATCTGAATACTTCTCACATCTATGGTTCAATGTAAACACTTGATCTACACATCCACTACCCACTCTGAAACCTCCTTGCTCATCCGCAATCTTACATTCTGTCTTACCTCTAATTCTTTCAATTATAACCCAACCCTACACTTTTCCTGGTATACTCAGTAAACTTATTCCTCTATAATTTTTACAATCTCTTTTGTTTCCCTTCCCTTTATATAAAGGGACTATACATGCTCTCTGCCAATCCCTAGGTACCTTCCCCTCTTTCATAAATTTATTAAACAAAAATACCAACCACTCCAACACTATGTCCCCCCGTGTTTTTAACATTTCTGTCATGATCCCATCAGTTCCAGCTGCTTTACCCCTTCTCATTCTACGTAATGCCTCACGCACCTCCCCCACACTCACATCCAGCTCTTCTTCATTCCTAAAAGATAGTATACCTCCCTGGGCAGTGCATGAAGTTACCGCTTCCTTTATTTCCTCAAAATATTCTCGCCATCTATCCATATATATATATATATATTATATATATATATATATATATATTATATATATATATATATATATATATATAT